GGATTGAAAGATTTAATGAGTGGGTTAATGAAATAATGAATAAGTGAATAATTGAATAATTTGCATGTTACCACAACAAATATTTCCATTTTTTCTCTATAATTTTTCAGTCTTAAAAATATTTTTTAAAACCTTATTGTAGGCTGACACCAAGGRTTGGATTCCCATGGAAAGAAATCAGAAACATCTCGTTCAATGACAAGAAATTTATCATCCAGCCAATCGACAAGAAAGCACCAGTGAGTAGACATATTGCTGGCTTAATACTAGGAAGTGCTAATGAATTGGTGACAGTGCTGCTTACTGAGCAAGAGGTCCATAGTTTGATTCTCATTGACCTCACACACTAACTTGTTTTAAGGAGCAAGTGTGGCTTGGTTGGTGAGCATGCTGCCTTAAAACTGAGAAAGAGGTCCATAGTTTTTATCCTCAGTGACCTGTAACACTTGTTTTAAGAACTTAAAGTAGGGCTGGGTTGGTTTAAGTGTGCTGCCTACTAAACTGTGTCTAAATTTAAAGCTGTTAGCTTTCAGCAAATGCTACCATAAATACATTCAAAATGTTTAGGATAACTTTTGATTGCCTTGTAGGATTTTGTCTTTTTCACCGCCCATCTGAGAACAAACAAACAAATCTTGGCATTATCAATGGGCAACCATGACCTGTACATACGACGCAGAAAGCCTGACTCTATTGAAGTCAAACAAATGAAGCAACAGAGTGAAGAGGAGAAAAAGATCCGTAGTGCTAACACGTAAGTTTGCTGCATTTAATATTATAATATTCTTTTCCTCAAAAATTTAATTTAATTTAGTCTAAAATCTCTGTCAAGATATAGTTTTTTTTAATTGCAGTTCTTTGATTGACGGTCCTTCAAACACTACAATACAAGGGCGGATCCAGGGGGAGGGTCGGGGGGTCGCGACCCCCCTGTCATTCCTGAGGTCAAATGGGCTTCCTGTGGTAAAAATGCGACTGGGTTTCCTTTGCCCACAAAATTTACCCCTGAGACCCCCCCTTCAAAAAAACGGATCCGCCCTTGCAATACAATACAATAAGTAATGATGAAAAGGTAAATTATACACCGTGAAAAGATGAAAAAACTTACTGACGTTTCGGACGCTAGTCCTTCGTCGGAGTTTTACTAGCGTCCGAAACGTCAGTAAGTTTTTTCATCTTTTCACTGTGTATAATTTACCCTTTTATCATTACTGTTTCATTAGAAACACCGACCCAGCTCACACTAGTTTTTAGCTAGTTATATCTTCTACAATACAATACAATACATCTTTATATCACTTTTTCCTTTTATGTTAGATTACATTAAATTATATATTTAGATCATTGAAAAGAAAGAAAATACTCATTTGCCCAAATAAATAAAGCTAAATATAAGTCTTAATGAAAGGAAATGCCTAGAGCCTAAATAAACCATATAGTTTCAATCTTCGCAGGTCGCATTTCAACAATAATGGTAGTAACTACCTTTATTGAAGTGTGACCTGTGAAGTTTGATGTCTTGTTTGGGGGTCTACTGCATTTCAACAACCGTCATAGGAAAAACTAAAATAAAAAAAAAAACAACGATAATCTTTTAAAGATTCTAATGGTCACTTATCCCCCTGTCTTCACACTAATCCCCCTGTCTTCACACTAATCCCCCTGTCTTCACACTTTATCCTCTATTTTATCATTGTAAACTGCACAGCAATGAAAATAACTAGAGATGGAATATTCTTTCAGTGCCCAAAAGAAGGAAGAGAAAAGAAAATTCCGAGAAAATGAAGAAACCCTAAGAAATCAAGAAGCAAAGCTTTTGGAAATGGAGAAAAAAATAGAAAGCTTCAATGAGGGTAAAGTCTGTGACTTGTTTTGTTAGGTTGCTGCCTGTTAGAGCGAGTGGACCTTAGTGCTTTKTTTGAGGGGGGTGAGGGTTGGTGTTTGTATCAAGATTGATGTAGTAGGTAGTATACTCTCCTCTCACCTCTGTGGTCTCAGGTTCAATTTCTGGACTCCACATCACATGCGAGTATATTTTTTAGGTCTTTCTATTGACTTGAGGGTTTTATCTGGGTTCTCTGGTTTTCCTCCCTCTACTAAACTTGGCAAGCCAAATTGCAATTCAATCAGCATTAGATCATCCCAGAGGTTGTTTCAGGGTTCAATCTTTGAGTTGGCCATGCCCTTACTTAGATCATCCCAGAGGTTGTTTGAGGTTGTTTCAGGGTTCAATCTGTGAGTTAGCCATGCCCTGACTTTGATCAGCCCAGAGGTTGTTTCAGGGTTCAATCTGTGAGTTGGCCATGCCCTGACTTAGATCAGCCCAGAGGTTGTTTCAGGGTTCAATCTGTGCGTTGGCTATGCCCTTACTTAGATCAGCCCAGAGGTTGTTTTAGGGTTTGATCTGTGAGTTGGCCATGCCCTTACTTAGATCATCCCAGAGGTTGTTTCAGGGTTCAATCTGTGCGTTGGCTATGCCCTTACTTAGATCAGCCCAGAGGTTGTTTTAGGGTTTGATCTGTGAGTTAGCCATGCCCTGACTTAGATCAGCATTGAAAGTATGTTGTTTCAGGGTTCAATCTGTGAGTCATAAAGCTGTACCCTGACTTATTCGAATTCAGCCAATTTTGATCTCCAATAACCAGTTCCTTTTATTGTCCTTTATTTTACTGAACTAAACTCCTGATTTAATTCAAAACAGAGATGAGAAGAAGGGAAGAAGAGTATGAAAGAAAGAGAATCCAGCAGGAGGAAGAACTGAAAGCAATTAATTCTCAGTCTGAAAGACTAATAGAAGAGAACAACAAAACAATCATTACGCTTCAAGAGATAGAGAAAGAGAGGGAACAGTTGGTGAGCATAACACATGTCCATCAAAAGGGAAGCACGGGTGGCACCCATGGGGGGGGG